TCCACCACCATTACTACTTCGCTCCACCACCACCACTAACTACCACAATTCGCCCCACCACCACTACCACAATTCGCCCCACCACCACAACCACAATTCGCTCCACCACTACCACCATCAACAACAACCACAACACAAGGGTCATACTCAGGCTTGCCATGATAACTTTCCCGAAGCTTAAGAGTGTTGAAACCAGAACGAATCTCGAGTACTGCCTTCCGCCCACACGCACACGCACACCCACAACTGGCACAATCTCCTGACTACCCCCTACCAGTGTCAGGTGGGCCCCTAATAGTGCCAGTTGGGCCCCCTACAAGTGGCAGATGGGCCCCCCCCCCCTACATTAGCTATGACCCGGAAATTGTCGGATTCTTGGGCAACGACCTTTAAATTACGTAATATGGTAATGGTGGGTCGACACGGCTTGAGAGAGAGAGTGTGTGTGTGTGTGTGTGAGAGTGTGTGTGTGTGTGTGTGTGTGTGTGTGTGTGTGTGTGTGTGTGTGTGTGTGTGTGTGTGTGTGTGTGTGTGTGTGTGTGTGAGAGAGTGTGTGTGTGTGTGTGTGTGTGTGTGTGTGTGTGTGTGTGTGTGTGTGTTTCAGTCCACAAAGTTTTAAAAATTTCCACACACAATTTCAAAAGTTTCTCTACCACATAGTTTCACACAAGATTCACCCTCAAAGTTTCTCACTCACATAGTTTCTGCTAAGTTTCACCCCCAAAAAGTTTTGGGTACTAATATTAGTTTCACAAGTTTCACCCCCAAAAGTTTCTAGCACTCTCCAGTAGCAAACTTGACTCAACTTGTTTAGGTTAAAGCTGCATCTTAGATCTTTTAATTAGGAGAGCAGCATCTTGGTGGAGGGGTGAACGGTCTGGCTGGCACTCTCCCTCCCTCCTTCATCAGCCACAACACCACATCACCACTACAGAACATCATGACACTACACTCCACACTATATTACTGCACACAACAACACTATTACATCACAACACCACTACATTACAATACCACAACCAAACCTAAGACAACCAAACTTAACCTAACCTAACCTCCCCTCCCACTACCACGGTATCATTGGACTGTTAATAAAATAAATTGGGAGGGGGGGGGCAGGGGGGCAGGGGAGGGCAGGGGGGGCAGGGGCAGGGGAGGGCAGGGGAGGGCAGGGGGGCTAATCTTCACGTGATCCTAGTTTACTTATCCTACATACCAGTTCAGTTATCTTCATTTTCAAGGATCACCTGAAGGATTCCCACCCCAGCATACTTCACCAAAAGATTATCCACCCTAACACAAACCTAATCAAACATAACCTAACTTAACCTAACCTAACCAATCAATTACTTTATCAGACCTAACCTAACTTTGCCAAACTTAAACGTAACCTAACCTAACCAAACCTAGCTTAACCTAACCTCATCCTTCAATCAATGTTAGGTCTGTTAATATGAAGGCATAGTTTTAAGATTTTTAAATACCAGAGTGACGTTTAGAATTATTATGACTTAACAAGACAACAGGGTAGCTACACTGTGCTTCGTTGTTATCACCACCACCACTACTACCACCACCATAACACCTACCACCACTACGATTACCATCACTACGATCACTACCACTACTATTACCACCATTAACACTACCACTTCTACCACCATCAACACTACCACTACTACCACCACCACCACCACCATCACAAATTTTGCTCTTGGGTGACCTTGGCCTTCCCTGGCGCCTGGGTTTTGCTGCTCAGGCAGACGATACCATCTCTCAAGATGTTACGCTAGAATCCCGTCTTGGTGGCCATGATACTAATGACAGGCACCGGAGAGACGCTACAAACAGGATCTCGCTGTCTCCGTGAAGCTGATCATGCTGGACCAACAAACACGGCTTGTTCTACACCTCCAAGTGACCATCAATCCATAACAGCAAGGATGTCACCAACAGCTCGTCCCTCCCTGACCAGATATCCCTCCTCCTACAGACAGGCTTGACACGTTTTGCCATAAAGAGATGAACTGTAACCTTATCAATTTTGTGGTCACTCCAGAATGGTCAACAAGGTCACTGTTCGCGGATATGTAATCAGTTCACATGACAAACAAATATAAACTACAGACTATATAATGTAAACAAAAAGTAAACTTAAGTAAACACGGATTTTACCCAACCACACACTGATGGAAGTAGACGCACCCCCAATGTGAGGCCGTATCGTGACACACCTTTGAGATACCACTGACGCGATGATCAGATGTATTGGTACACGAACACATAACTCCAGACGCCGACCAGTGTGCCCTAGAAACGCCTCACCTGCAGTCCGCCCTCCTTCACATGGGTGTTCCCGGGACCTGTGAACGTGACAACAGAATTCAACAAGACTTAACCCAAAGACGTATCAACACAAGACCTCGCAGGACGTTCATTAATGAGCATATTGTGTTGTTAGCATAGAGAGTTAGGGCCACCTGGACTATGTTACAGTCCAGCGGGGAACTTTTGATCACCTTTAATGGCATCTTCCACCTGTGTGTCTGACCCCCACCTTCATGATACACGATGAGAGGTTGTCTCATGTCTGTGATGTATGAAGAAAGTTCCTGCTCCACGTCTTATCTGTATTTTATTCACCCGAGCCTGTCTATCTATCTGTCTGTCTGTCTGTCTGTCTGTGTCTGTCTGTCTGTGGTGGGGTCCAATGACCACTGGATAATATTTTGCGTTATCCATCAGTGTTTGGTGTAAGGAACAATTAATGAAGGACGATGTGCGGGACGGGAGGGACAGACAGACAGGAGCAGCTCAACACCCAGGTGGATGGACGGGAGGTAACAGACAGGAGCTGCGGCGTAAGAGTGAGCCACACCATAAACACGTTAAACCAGGCGACACATCCAAACTTATGTGCGGATGGTGAGGTTCAGGCAGGAGGCACGCGGTGATCATGTTAACACGTGTAATTAAGGCCTGAATATTAGCTCCCAGTTTACTTCACCTTAAAACTAAACCACTCTAACGCTAACCTAACCTAACCTAACCTAACCTAACCTAACCTAACCTAACCTAACCTAACCTAACCTAACCTAACCTAACCCCCCATGTACCTTTAGGGTGTTTTAATCATCATATGAAATACAGGTGTAAGGTGAGGAGGGGTGGCTAATCTTCAGGTGATCAGGTAAATGTAACAACGGAAGTAGGTAGCGCAACACACACACACACACATATACACACACACACACACACACACACACACACTAGGGTGGTCCAAAACTATATGGTAAAAAATATAAGTAGTAATATATTGCCTCCACAAGCCTTAAAATTGTCCATTTGGTTCATAGATAAGGTCTGTAAAATTTTATCCATATTCATTAACATTTAGAGGTCAATCCATTTTGCATATTATACTTGTAGTGTAGGACTGAATTTTCTTGTCCGTATGATACAGTCTTAATATACACAACACATTATATTGGGTATATTTCAATGTATATAGCCTAGTTGCCTATTTGGAAAGGGCAAAGAGTCAAGTATTGAGTCATAGGGACTGACAATGACAGGTTGAAACATGAAACACAGACAAGGGTTACCATTAATCAGATGAAGTTACTTATTTCATTTATATCTCATCAGTTCTACAATTATTTCATTATCAATCTAAATAGTATATTTTGCTGAATAAAGACAATGTGTTTATAATGTGTTTATCTAGCACCGAAAAATCCTTATTACGTACTAAATGGAAAAAAAGAGGACATTGGATTGACCTCTAAATATGCTTTAAATGATCCAATTTTTTTCTGGGATGCATTTTGTACCTAATGGACAAAAATAAACCTTGTGGAGAAAACGTATACAAATATGTGATATTTTGGACCACCCTAACACACACACACACACACACACACACACACACACACACACACACACACACACACACACACACACACACACACACACACACACACACACACACACACACACACAGCCACCTATCAATTATAAACATTTACGGGAAAATATAAAAATCCAGCAATCATCCGTTTAATTTCATCAACCTATACTGAATATAAATGAAAGCATGTAATGTTTCCAGGATCAGTGAGTTTTATTGGGTGGGGGAAGGGGGAGGGGAAGGGGGGAGGGTGAAGGGGAGGGGAGGGGGGTTATAGAACGAATAATTCTACGGGAAACAAAACTAAACTATATTGTGGTAAACGTTGATATAAGTGAGTTAACGTTACTTTAATGAGACAACGTTATTTTAGGTCAAAGAATGAAAAAGTGAGTAATATTTACAATAATTTAGTTGAGTGGCGAAACTTTAACAATTATCTTATAAAACAAAACGGAAAATTATGAACGACCAGGAAGTTGGTTCAACTCAGCAAGACGCTCAGCTCCTTAGGTGTGACCCTGACCCTTAAAGTGTGACCCTGACCCCTAAAGTGTGACCTTGACCCCTAAAGTGTCACCCTGACCCCTAAAGTTTGACCTTGACCCGTAAAGTGTGACTTTGACCCCTAAATTGTGACTTTGACCCCTAAAGTGTGACTT